TCAAATCTTTCTTTTTTGGCTACTTATCCCTTCTTTCACTTCTGTAAATATTTATTGTTAACGTTTTAAATTTTATTTTATTTTAACACAGAATAGGTTCACAACCTAAATCATGACCTAAATTGTGTCGATGGGGATTTAAAATATCTACGACCGACTATACTTACAATTACGGTACAGTATGGGCCTACCATATTTAACTCTATCATATACTCAATTATGTCCAGCAGCAGTGCACCATCGTCATGTTTTAATCAACTAATGAGTAAATGCAGATACAAACCTAGTTGTAGCCCCCGGGGCGGTGCTACTGACTGAAGTGTCTTTAGGCTATTCCCAAAGGGGGGACATTAACCATGTTCATGCGCAGTTGAATTGTAATTGTAAATGGGCTGATTCATTAATGTCATGCTCATAACTGTGCCTGAACTGCAACAGGGAACTGCTGCTTTTTCTTTCCTAATCCTTACTATCGTTATTTTCCCTCTATTTCTTTTGTATGTTTGTCACACTCTTGTGACACGCTATTTCCAGGGTGCCTTGATAGTCGAAGTAGACTTTGTGCTGTTGAAGCTAGAGAGGTGAGCAGACTAAAGGACTTCTCTGTTGACATCCACCCATTGGCGCTCATAATATGACCGTATGCAGTTCCGAAAGCCGTAAAACCTCTACCTAAACAAACAAGACCTAGTAGTTGGCGAACCAACTCGCCAATAAAAACCCCCAGTAACATTCTCGCGTCCAACTCTCGATTTCCCTCCCCCCCCTTTTTTTTTCTCTTCTTTTTCTTTTTTTCCTAACTCTCTTTTTTCCACCATCCAAATTTCGTCTAGCCATAGCTTTACCTTCCTCCGCCAATGACTTCTTCTCCCTCCGTTATTGTCCTGCCGCCATTACCGATCAGAGAGCATAGGTTCAATGCCGGTGATTATATTGGCGATAAAGGTATTGATTTCCCGGCACGAACCGGCCAGGGGTTAGTCGGTGAAAGGTCAGATGGTCGATCTGCCGTGAACGGTCGTGGACTTTCTCCACAGACATGTGCCCAGACCTCCCCTTCGCTCGACCCAGGCCAGTATAGCTAAGCTGGCCGACGCGTTAATTAATTAAGTGTCAAAGTGTATGTGTGTATGTGTGTGTATGTGTATGTGCATTCTCCGGGGAAAGGAAGGAGAGACTTGTAGGCAGAGCTGACGCTCACACTTCATGCTACAGCTTCTTCTGCTTTGGAGGGTGTCTGATTTCTGGGACCTGGTAGGTATTCTTCTTCTTCTTCTTCTTCTTCTTCTTCTTCTTCTTCTTCTTCTTCTTCTT